CCCCCCTGTTGTGATGATCACAAAGATGGCGTGCCCTGAGCGCAGCCTTCTGGTAGTTAATACTATGAAGTGAGTAAAAAAAGTAGCACCACTTATTAAGACTTTTACGTCGAGCTTACGCGAAGCCACAAAGAATCTGTGTGATGAAGTCACCTGGAACACTACATGGGAAAGGGAGAAGAACAATGGAAAATTCCGATTCATTTTAGAGATTCTCCTAGATTCTTTTTTATCTTCCGTCTTGTTGCTCAAAAAGTCGCACGGCTTTTTGTTCAACTCAACAGCGCACTTCCTCTGACTGTCCAGCATTACTTTCAGTGGTAGGCTTCGGAACTGTGGCGCCTAACAGTAGTTGTCGTGATAAGACCAGAGCAAAAAACAATAAAACATTGACACATTGAATCAGATGTGTTGCGAATGCGGTCAAATGACGGCATTTTCAATGCTTCTTTACGATCGTTGCGGCTAGGATCAGCTGAGTTATACACAGTCAAACCCCAGTATATGCTTAATGTAACTATCGATTCGGATGTTTCAGACAGTTCTGTGTCTGCTTGACATATTAGGTTAGTTGCATAAGTTCTTATACACGACTTTTTTGTAAATATCTCAAAAACGAACCAGCCTGGAGATTAGAGGTATGCACCATCACCATTCACTACTCGACGCCAGCGCTCAGGCAGCTTGTCGATTCCATCCTTCCAGAACGACGGAGGCTGGGACTTGAAGAAGTCGTCGAGCGCCTTTCTGACCTGATCCTTTGTTTCGAACTTTTTTCCGTCCAGATAGCGCTGCAGGTGGCTGAACAGCCAGTAGTCAGAAGGAGCGAGGTCAGGGCTGTAGGGAGGGTGGGCGACCATCAGCCATCCGTACTTCTCCAGCTCGGCCTGGGTCGCCTTTGCAGTGTGAGGTCGGGCGTTGTCATGGTGGAAGTAGATTTCCGCATTCCTTCCACGAGTACGGTCGACGTGATCTTTCAATTTCCGCAGCTGGGTCACGTATGTGGAAGCGTCAATCGTCTGTCCCTTCTCCAGCAGCTCCCAGTACTCCATGCCTCTTCTGGACCACCAACAGGACAGGAGAACCTTTTTGGGGTGAAGGTCGGCCTTTGGGGTGGCTTCTGGCTGTTCTCCTTTGTCGACCCACTGCCGCTTCCTCACAGGGTTATCGTAGAGGACCCACTTCTCATCTCCAGTGATCATCGAGTTGAGAAAGTGAAGCCTCTTTTGGAAAGTGAGGAGAGAAGTGCAGGTGGTCACCCTCCTCGAGAGGTCATAAGCGACAGTTCATGTGGGACCCATCGACCAAGCTTTGCTACCTTGCCGAGCTTTTCTAGTCCACGTGCAACCGTCGAATGATCATAGCTAAGCATGGTCGCCATTTCTCTGGTGGTGAGGTACGGGTCCTCCTCCACGGTGGAACGTAGTACTTCCAAATCCAACTCCATCGGCCGACCCGACCTCGGAGCATCTTCGAGAGAAAAGTCTTTCTTGAATTTGGCGAACCAATTCTTGCATGTCATGTAAGAGATGACGTCCTCACCGTATGTATCCACCAGCTTGGTATGGGCTTCCTTTGCATTCCAGCCGAAATCGTGGAGCAAAACCAAACAGTGGCGCAGGTACGTTTTGTCACAGTGCAAATTGTGCGACATTGTGTACTGCAAATGCAAGCTCGGTGAGTGATAGCTAGTGTAATGAAAGAGTATAATGTACACGTCACGCACACGTGATGACGTAATACCAACATCCATGCGAACGAAATAGGAGAGGATCAAACACGTGTATAAGAACTTATGCAACAACCTAAAAGAACGCATGCGTTTTATAACATCTAATGGCTAAAGTTAAAAACAGAAAAGTTCTAAGACTTCCGGTATAAGGACCTCACCACGGATATGATTAACAGCTCACAAGGTTGCGGTAAAAAACAGCTTTATTAAAAATCTACACAGAGTCAAATTGTATAATCGCCTTGTCGGGAGAATCCATAAGTTCCCAGTAGACCTAGAATACCACGTTCATGTTTCAAAAATAACTGAGGAAAGGAAAACTCAGCAACAAAAAAGTCACCTTGATGATTTTCTTGAGCGACCAAATCTTCCTCCAGCAATCAACGTCCGCAATAGGCTTGTGCAAAGAATTGCGCCATCCACTTCGCTGCCAAACGGGTAACCAGTTCTCAGAGGCCATAATCAGGCGAGGAGAATCAGTGCGAACGATCAGCTGTCGAAATGCCAAACCAGAAGCCTAAGATAACAATGGATTCTGGTTTATATGATGACAGGTGGACTGGGTTGCAGATGTCTACCTTTTCAAGGACGGCAAGAAAAGCGTGATGAGTCTTCCTCTCCGACTCGCCGGACGAATCGGCGTCTTCGCCATCATCACCTGCCCATACAACCTTACTTGCAGAATTTGGGCTTCGCTTGAATATCGTTACTCTGTGTGCGCTGAATTTGTGAACTAGAAATCACCCACTAAATATAATTTGCTTCGTCTGTTTGCTTGTTTGTTTGTTTGTCTGTCCGGAAATTCGGTTCGACCCCAAAAACAACTTGGAGAGGTCGGGTCAAGGTGGGGATAGGTAGGAAGGACACCTGAGCAGAGTTTGGCATGCGAGGTGTGTTGAGACCCATCCACGGGGTCGGACCCAGGGTGGGCGAGGCATGCACCGAAAGTTGGCGGTGCCGCGAAAAAAAACTCATAACTCGCTTCCAGAGCAGCCCAGAGATGGGGAAAAAGTGGAATAAGGTTAGCAAGGGGTTGTTAGACTAATTAGTGGAGACATACTCGAAATGGGCGATGTTTCCCGCAAAAATCATTAACTCGGTTCCCGAAAGAGTTTAGAAATCGCAAAAAGGTCGATGTAGGAGGGCAACACCTGGGGAGAGTTTGGCATGCCTGAGGTGTGTTGAGACCCGCCCACAGGGAGGGGAGCTTGCTCTCAATCATAGGCTGCCCATTGCAAAAATTAGCTTGGTTCCAGAGCACTCCAGAAATCGGGGAAAAATTGGATGAAGGTTAGCAAAGGGTCGCAGGTGAGGATTGTGGAGCACGCACGTTGTGGACGAGGCCTACCCCGTGGTGGGTAGACCCTGACAAAAAAAATTGTAAAACGTGTCCAGAGAACGCCAAAGACCGGAGAAATGTTACGGTCAGCAAAGGGTCGCCGTTGAGGAATGTGGAGCACACACATTGTGGGCGGAGACTGCTCCGGTGAAGCCAGAGAAAAAATTCTGTAAAACAGTCCAGAGCACTCCAAAGGTCGGAGAAAATGAATTAAGATCAGCAAATGGTCGCGGTGAGGAATGTGGGGCACACACGCTGTATGCAGTGTCGTGACTTCCACCACGACCTCAGTAAGGTCGCTCCACGGTGAAGTTGGGAGGAAGCCGCGCCGCAGCACTCGTTTGAAGTTCGCGCCCTCAGGCAGAACATTCTAGCATACTCTGTCCATCTGTGCTCTAGCCGCGCGCCAAGCTTGCTCCGTCAGTGTCATCGCTACGGTCGCCGTGGCCGGTCGGGCCACAGCCCTTCACCGTCCCATCACGATCGCATGTCACTCACGGCTTCCATCACTGTCGACGCCTTGCTTATACCATCGTGCTCTGGCAGATCAGCTATCCGATATATATTCCTCTACTATTCCTATATATGTTTACGACTGTGATATACAACATCGCGCAGGTCAGCCCTTCTTCACCTTCCTCCACTAGCAGTTGAACATAGTTATCCTATAGTCCACCTTTACCGTATATGCACATTTATTCCGTTCTTGCTTTATTCACTTATGCACATATATGCTTTACTCATTATTCGGCATTCCCTGAAGTATGACCTAGTAAACTAGTGTTTCAAAACCTTTCGTCATCCCTTATGGTTAGTGTAACTCCACGTCGCAGTCAGTCATCTGGTAGTAACTAGGTTTTCGGTCACTCGATCAATTCGTTGTCGTCCTTCATCTTGTACACAGTCGATCGATACGTCGTCCTGCCACGCGTCAGCCAATCAATAAGGAACTGCGTCGCAGACTTACGCCCCGGATAGGCTAGGGGAAGTCTAGACCCTCGTCTACTGTAGCCGCGTGTCAGGAGGCACACTACTACTCGAGCATTCACAGCGCACGCTATCTCTTCTTCCCCTCAGGGGTGCACCGGGCACCCGGAATCCCGGATTTTCTTGTTGGCTCTCCAACACCGATGCAGACACGCCGACGAGCGATATGAGAGTCACGACATGCAGAGCCTGCTCCATGTGGCGTAGTCAGACAAAAACACTGTAAAACGGTTCCAGAGCACTCCAGACACTGCTAAAAAGTGGATAGTGGTCAGGAGGATCACCGGTCGATGCGGGACACAACCGTTGTAGGCGGAGCGTGCGACGAGGTATGCGGAGCCAAACTTAAAAATTTGTAGAACTCTCCCAGAGCACTCCAGACACTGGGGAAAAATGGAAAAAATGGTCTGGAGCAAGCGAGCGGTCACCAGTTTGGGAGTGCAAGACACATCCATTGTGGGCGGAGCGTGCGGCGAGGCGGCGGAGCCAAACGCAGAAATCTGTAAAATGGTTCCAGAACAGACTCCAGACACCGGCAAAAGGCGAGCAAAGATGTGCAGGAGCTCCGCTATAGAAGCGAGATTTACGCGCCCATTGTGTGCGGAGCTGTGCATGTGGGCGGGCGAAGGTCAAAAATTCACGAATTCAGTTGCAGAGCAGCATAGGCACCGGGGACAAGTGGGTGAGGTCCACAAGGGGTTAGCGGACGAAATGGTAGGAGACATCTCAAAAATGGGCGGGCTGCTTTCGTGGTTGGCGTGCTTGCCGCAGAATTGCGTGGTTCGGATCTGAATGACCCTGGAGATCAGGGAAAACTGTTAGAGTAGAGAAATGTATAGCGAGAGTTAGGTGTGCCTGTGGTGTGTTGAGACCCGTCCACAGTTGGTGGAGCGTCTTCTCATGCACGGGTGCCTATCTTCACTGCGTAGTGAAAAATGAGGGTTTTAGTGCACAGGTCGCACACTTTTGAACAGCTGTTGTCGCACGAACATTCTGATTCCAGTCGGTTCGCTGGCTGACGCCGGCGCGATTCCTTTTCTAATAGGGCCAGGGTTTGCCGGTTGCTTACTTCGTCGCGCCCACCTGCTTGCATATGTTTGAATGCTCAACTAATACCCGGTTTCTCTCTCATCTGCGCACTTGATCAACGCCCACCATTTCATAGACGGTAGTAGTGTCGACAGTAGGTATGATGTTATTGCTCAAGGAGCGTTGACTATGTGTACAGTGAAATAAAAGCTGAAATAATTGTTGAGTATCCAGGGTAGAAGGGGGGCAAGCGCGCCGTATCAGGGAAGGAGGCGCGCTAGCGTCAGCCGGCTGGTCAAATACACTGCGAAGCATAATCATAGTTCCACCCATGAATCTCACAAAATCCCGTCTTACACGACGTTTTCAAAAATGCCCCCATACAGAAAATGTGGTAATTACCAATACCAATTCGCATGCCAACACCAAACTTAGCTTGAAAAAAACAATTTTTTTCGTCAATTTTTTCAAAAATGGTCGTTCTGACAACGCAGCAAAAATATAGTTCCACCGAACAAATCGAATATTCCAACAACAAGTGTACAATAAAATGAATAAATTTTGATCCAGTAATCTATTGGAACTCTATTTCTCCAATTAAGTTGGAAAATACGGTTGCCCATGTTCGATTAGAGATTTTAATAGGCTGTCGGCCGACTGCCCCAATTAACTCCTAAGCTCACGGACCTTGTGGAATTGTGCATTACTCTCATGGATCATACGCACCATGAAGCCCCTCACATCCTCGATTGGGTTTTAGTCGGGGCTACTCGCTGGCCAGGGCAAAAGAGCGGTTTGGTGACAACTGAATCACGCTCGAGTGCTTCGACTGTCATGAACTGGTGCATTATCCTGCATGAAAACGGGAACCTTCTTGCTGATTTCCAGTCAGAAAGCAAAGAGAAGTCGTCGCATGACTTTTAGATGACGGAAGAAATCATTTCTTTTTTCATACGGAGCAGTTTCAGACGTTCCATTCATGCGATGGCAGCCCAAACCATGAGACCACATCCACTGATGTTCCGCCCGGAAAAATGAAACTTGTCTTCCCTCATATCGTGCCAGCGGGATCGGTTTTCGTCGGAGCCGTCGCAGTTGAATTTTCACTCATCAGAAAACACGACCGCGAGAAAAAAAAACTGAAAAAAACACTACAGACAAGCAGTAGGGCACCGCAGCCAAAAGCCAACCTCACTTCATTGGGTTCGGCAACATCTTCGAGCAAAGCCAATTAGGTTTTCGCGATGGTTTTTCGTTGGAAACAGTACATAACTCATATTCCTCCTATGGGTGAACTCGGGAGTTTTTCAAGAGACGACAGTATTCTCCGAGATATTAACCTCCGAAGATGTCTTGATTTCCCGACACGACACTGCAGAGTTGGATGCTTTCCAAGGATACGGCGGTTATTCCGATCGGGCAGCAAAGAAGGATGTCCAGAGCTCTTCTCAGCTCAATATCCTGTGGCTCCCTTGGAAAAAATCGTTGATAGTATGATGAGTGCGGCCCGATTCGCGCGCCATTTGACGTTTCACCAGTTTTTGCAGCCTTCTCTGCGATAAACTGTCCTTTTTCAAGTCCATTTATGAAGTTCCGCTTGCTATAGCCTAGAAGAGGCAAGAAGTCATAATGATGAGAAGTTTCACCGAACAAAAATGAGATGCAGCCGGAAAATATGGGGTGGAACTATATTTTTGCTTCGTTGTCAGAACGACCATTTTTTGAAAAATTGACGAAAAAAAAATTGTTTTTTCGAGCCAGAGTTTGGTGTTGGCATGCGGATTGGTATTGGTAATTACCACATTTTCTGTACGGGGGCCATCCCATTTTTTTGAAACCTCCGTGAAGACGGATTTTGTGAGATTCATGGTGAACTATGGATTAGCTTCGCGAGTGTATAAGACCTATAGCTAATTCAGAAGACTGCTATCAAATCCTGATCCTATGCCAAGCATTGGTGAACAACTACTACATTTATAGTCTAGTTCCTGCGGAAGAAGGGAGGAGGAGGATATACAGGGGGGCCAAAAAAAAAAGTCATTTCGGCCGAGCCACCACGCTGCCGCCAACTCGCCTTCATGTACGCCAAAATATTAGGTTGTCCGGAAAGTTCTTAGCGTTTTGTGCACCTAATCTTTGTACATTCACTGCTGATTAAAAACTCATTCTGCCTTGCTTCTCAGTAGCACATCCTGTAGAGAATTTCTTGCGCTATCTGATGGTATAATTGCCGTTTCACCATTGCTTGATAAACCCCTTTTTTCAAGATTTTTTCAAGCATGTGAAAAGAGCACTTCGGACGATTTTTTTCTTCGGCTATAAATTGGGGCAATCCGCAATCGAAACAGCTCA